CAGTTATATTCTGTGTATCCAAGAAAGAATCCAGGACTTTCCTACAGCAATCCACGGAGCTGGCCACAACCAACACTTGAGGGAGTCTATTCCACATTCTCACAGCTCTTACTGTGAAGAAACCTTTCCGTGTTTGGAGATGACATTTTCTTTTCCTGATCACTCATTGTGTTCATTCAGGAAAGGAAAGCGCTGGTAAATGTGACCTACTTACCAGACCTTTCTTCCACTCTATCCTGAAGGATCCTACTGTGTGCTTGCAGCTGCTGGTGGGAAGGAAAGGAGGGAAGCCGACAGCACTGTGGAGGTGGGGGCACATGTGTCAAGGTCCTACCATTCCTCAGGGCTTGTGCTGCTCCATGTGCTGGCATCCATCTTAGGTGTCTGCAAAGCATTGTGGGATCCTTTATGCTTTCAGCCCTCTGCGGCTCCTCCTAGGAGGTGGCAGCTTATCACATTTAAGTCTGCTGTTTGTAGCTGTCCATTGCATTCGTGTCCTGTCTGTTGCACAGCAGCAAGCTCCTGTTTAGTTTCTCATTGCTCTCCTGGATACCGACTTGGCTTTGGCTAAGACTCCTTCCTGGCTTCTGACCCCGGCTCTGGCGACCATCCTTCCTGGCTTCTGACCCCGGCTCTGGCAACCATCCTTCCTGGCTTCCTACCCCGGCTCTGGCGACCATCCTTCCTGGCTTCTGACCCCGGCTCTGGCGACCATCCTTCCTGGCTTCCGACCCCGGCTCTGGCGATCGTCCTTCCTGGCTTCTGACCCCGGCTCTGGCGACCGTCCTTCCTGGCTTCTGACCCCGGCAATGGCGATCAGCCTTCCTGGCTTCTGACACCGGCTCTGGCGACCATCCTTCCTGGCTTCTGACCCCGGCTCTGGCGATCGTCCTTCCTGGCTTCTGACCCCGGCTCTGGCGATCGTCCTTCCTGGCTTCTGACCCCGGCTCTGGCGACCGTCCTTCCTGGCTTCTGACCCCGGCTCTGGCGACCGTCCTTCCTGGCTTCTGACCCCGGCTCTGGCGATCAGCCTTCCTGGCTTCTGACACCGGCTCTGGCGACCATCCTTCTTGGCTTCTGACCCCGGCTCTGGCGATCGTCCTTCCTGGCTTCTGACCCCGGCTCTGGCGACCGTCCTTCCTGGCTTCTGACCCCGGCTCTGGCGACCATCCTTCCTGGCTTCTGACCCCGGCTCTGGCGATCGTCCTTCCTGGCTTCTGACCCCGGCTCTGGCGACCGTCCTTCCTGGCTTCTGACCCCGGCTCTGGCGACCATCCTTCCTGACTTCTGACCCCGGCTCTGGCGACCATCCTTCCTGGCTTCTGACCCCGGCTCTGGCGACCATCCTTCCTGGCTTCTGACCCCGGCTCTGGCGATCGTCCTTCCTGGCTTCTGACCCCGGCTCTGGCGACCATCCTTCCTGGCTTCTGACCCCGGCTCTGGCGACCGTCCTTCCTGGCTTCTGACCCCGGCTCTGGCAACCATCCTTCCTGGCTTCCTACCCCGGCTCTGGCGACCATCCTTCCTGGCTTCTGACCCCGGCTCTGGCGACCATCCTTCCTGGCTTCCGACCCCGGCTCTGGCGATCGTCCTTCCTGGCTTCTGACCCCGGCTCTGGCGACCGTCCTTCCTGGCTTCTGACCCCGGCAATGGCGATCAGCCTTCCTGGCTTCTGACACCGGCTCTGGCGACCATCCTTCCTGGCTTCTGACCCCGGCTCTGGCGATCGTCCTTCCTGGCTTCTGACCCCGGCTCTGGCGATCGTCCTTCCTGGCTTCTGACCCCGGCTCTGGCGACCGTCCTTCCTGGCTTCTGACCCCGGCTCTGGCGACCGTCCTTCCTGGCTTCTGACCCCGGCTCTGGCGATCAGCCTTCCTGGCTTCTGACACCGGCTCTGGCGACCATCCTTCTTGGCTTCTGACCCCGGCTCTGGCGATCGTCCTTCCTGGCTTCTGACCCCGGCTCTGGCGACCGTCCTTCCTGGCTTCTGACCCCGGCTCTGGCGACCATCCTTCCTGGCTTCTGACCCGGCTCTGGCGATCGTCCTTCCTGGCTTCTGACCCCGGCTCTGGCGACCGTCCTTCCTGGCTTCTGACCCCGGCTCTGGCGACCATCCTTCCTGACTTCTGACCCCGGCTCTGGCGACCATCCTTCCTGGCTTCTGACCCCGGCTCTGGCGACCATCCTTCCTGGCTTCTGACCCCGGCTCTGGCGATCGTCCTTCCTGGCTTCTGACCCCGGCTCTGGCGACCATCCTTCCTGGCTTCTGACCCCGGCTCTGGCGACCGTCCTTCCTGGCTTCTGACCCCGGCTCTGGCGATCAGCCTTCCTGGCTTCTGACCCCGTCTCTGGCGATCAGCCTTCCTGGCTTCTGACCCCGGCTCTGGCGACCATCCTTCCTGGCTTCTGACCCCGGCTCTGGCGACCATCCTTCCTGGCTTCCTACCCGGCTCTGGCGACCATCCTTCCTGGCTTCTGACCCCGGCTCTGGCGACCATCCTTCCTGGCTTCCTACCCCGGCTCTGGCGACCATCCTTCCTGGCTTCTGACCCCGGCTCTGGCGACCATCCTTCCTGGCTTCTGACCCCGGCTCTGGCGACCATCCTTCCTGGCTTCTGACCCCGGCTCTGGCGATCGTCCTTCCTGGCTTCTGACCCCGGCTCTGGCGATCGTCCTTCCTGGCTTCTGACCCCGGCTCTGGCGACCGTCCTTCCTGGCTTCTGACCCCGGCTCTGGCGATCAGCCTTCCTGGCTTCTGACACCGGCTCTGGCGACCATCCTTCCTGGCTTCTGACCCCGGCTCTGGCGATCGTCCTTCCTGGCTTCTGCCCCCTGGCTCTGGCGATCGTCCTTCCTGGCTTCTGACCCCGGCTCTGGCGACCGTCCTTCCTGGCTTCTGACCCCGGCTCTGGTGACCATCCTTCCTGGCTTCTGACCCCGGCTCTGGCGATCAGCCTTCCTGGCTTCTGACCCCGTCTCTGGCGATCAGCCTTCCTGGCTTCTGACCCCGGCTCTGGCGATCGTCCTTCCTGGCTTCTGACCCCGGCTCTGGCGATCAGCCTTCCTGGCTTCTGACCCCGGCTCTGGCGATCAGCCTTCCTGGCTTCTGACCCCGGCTCTGGCGACCTCCTTCCTGGCTTCTGACCCCGGCTCTGGCGATCAGCCTTCCTTGCTTCTGACCCCGGCTCTGGCGACCATCCTTCCTGGCTTCTGACCCCGGCTCTGGCGATCAGCCTTCCTGGTTTCTGACCCCGGCTCTGGCGACCATCCTTCCTGGCTTCTGACCCCGGCTCTGGCGATCAGCCTTCCTGGCTTCTGACCCGGCTCTGGCGATCGTCCTTCCTGGCTTCTGACCCCGGCTCTGGCGACCATCCTTCCTGGCTACTGTTCTACCAAGTCATCCGCTGTTGCTGTTGGACTTGCATAGACTCTGTCTTGTTTTTGTATAATAAACCTACCTTTAATTGCACCTCCTTGTGTGTCTGGCTCCTCGCTCCCTGACAACACGGGGGGGTTTCTGGGCATCAAGGGGAAATGTAAGATGCACAGGGATGCCGATGGGTGCTGCAGGGGGGAGCAGGGTAACGACAATTACTGGCCCCTGTATGACTCTTTCTGCAGCAGCTGAAAGCCAGCAGAAGGGAGAGAAGAAGAAGCCGGCTTTCAGCTGCTGCAGAGAGAAGTATACAGGGGATTGGTTCCAGTAATTGCCCCCCCCCCCCCTCCCTTCACTTTGCAGATCACCCTCCCTTCCCCTATTCAATTCACAAAGTTGTCTGGGCCCCCCCTGCTGGCCTGGGCCCCGTACAGGAGAACTGGTGGTACCCCCTTATCCACAGCTCCGCTCCTCTGTGTTACTTAGTCTGCCGGTTTCTGCCTTCTGATCTTGTAGTTCGCTGCCAGCATGCTGCCCATACCTGCCTGACTCTGACCAGGATCTTGGCACTTCTCTGCCCGGCTGTTAACGAATCCGGTTGCGCGGTCATGCAACACTGTACCCATATGAATTTTTGAGCAATATTTTTGAGGCAGATAAAGCTTTATTTTGGTGGTATTTAATCACCGCTGGGATTTTTTTTATTTTTTTTGCTATGTAAATGAAAATGTCCAAACATTTTGAAAAAAGTGTTTTTCTTATAAAATTTTACAAAGAAATAATATTTCATCATAAATCTCGGCCAAAATGTATTCCGTTATCTTTTTAGTAAAAAAAATAATCCAAATTAGTTTATAACCAAAGATTATAATTTTTAAACTTTTTTTTACATTTTTATTTTTTTTTTATATTATTATTTATGTTTTTATTTTTTTTGTACATACTGTCACCCTAGCAATACAGTGTCACCATGGTGACACTGTACTACTTATGGGGGGTGATGAAGATTTTTTTTTTTTTTTACACTGATTGCTTTTACATCCATAAAGGCTATAAAAGCAATCATTTCTCCTTCTCTCTGGCTGCATTCCTGCAGCCATTGAGAAATACTGTGAGAGCTGTGATTGGTCACAGCTTGTCACATGGTGCAAGGCTGTTGTGAATAGCCCTGTACCATGTGACCTCGGTGATCATTCACAGATTTCACACGTAGTAAGCAATGATGTCAGAAGTGACATCTTGCTTAGTACTCTGCATGTGATCACTAATTGGCCAGTCAGTGATCACATGATCGGGACCTCACACAGAGGTCCCATATGACGATCGGTGTTCTACTGTGTCCGGAGGACACAGCGGGCATCGGATCATGGCGCCGCCCGCTCCCAGGGAGCGCGCACAAGCAGGAAGCGGGGAGGCCGTTTATAAATGGCTACCTCACCCTGCACTGCCACCGTCCGACCGTTTATATACATGGGCCGGACGGGAGGTGGTTAACCCCCCTGGCGGTATTCCCGAATGTAGCTCGGGGTAAAGTTTCACCACCATAAGCGGTAACCCCCCCCCCCCCCCGAGCTACACTCGGGAATACACTGCAGTGTTGCTCCGGGATCCCTCGATCACTTACCTTGTCCTGCGCTCCCGCGATGTCCCCCCTGCAGTGTCCCCTGTAATGTCCTCCGGCTGATGCCGGCATCTGAATTCTGGGTTCCGTTCCCTGCGACGTCGGGACGTACGGGGGACGGAACTGGCGGGAAATTTGAAAATGACAAAAAGTGACATTCACTAAATCCACTAAAATCACATCGTATAACATTCCTGTATCAAACCATTTCACATACATTGTGTCCCGAGTGCTTTGTCCGGCGCCCTGCCTGCATTTTTACCGCCCTTTCTGCCTGGAAACTGAGAAACGTCCATGGCGTCCAAAAAGCGTCCCTTTAGGTCAGACGCGGTTTTAGACCGGCTAGAGAACAGCGATAGTAAATCAGAACCACTTGCAGAATTGAGTGATAATGATTGGTGGGGGAAATTCCTCATCAGACACTGAAAACGATTCTGCGACTGAGCTCAGCGATGTGCCAACTTGGCGCTATATTTCACATTTCAGTGTTTTTGGTTTGATTATATTATTGAATTACATTTATTATTATATTATTATGTTTAATGATCATTTATTATATTATAATTTATGATTTTGTGTTTCAAGTTTTATCCTCCCCGGGATGTTTACTAGACTCTTGTCCGGACAGATTTCAGGGAGTTATTCCTAAAAATTACAGGCCTGCAATAAAAAACGCCAAATTTCCATGCAAAATAATGTACCGCTTTCAGCACCAAAAATCTGAAATAATCAGACCGCTAGGGAGGTTAAACCCCCCTAGAAGAATATGCTGATTAGTGGTGGCCTTTATGTTTGAGTCGAACATGGGCCGTTCGTGTGTTGGTTGAGGCACAGTCAGAGCCAGCTCAGGAGTGAGCATTTACCAGTGCCCCTATAGCGAGCGGCTTACTATGGGGGCACTTGGCAGGGGAGAGGTGCCAGGCGCGCCAGCGGGAGAACCTTTAGAAGAGGATCGGGACTTCTCTGTGCAAAACCATTAAAGAGCAGGTCAGTAAAGACTTGTTTGTTTTTTTTTTTTTATGAAAATGTATCTTTTGCAATCACTTGAAAGGAGTATAGAAGTAATGGATCTACCGGCAGCATCAACAGGTTTCGGGGGAAACTCCAGAAAATGACAACCGCGTTGCTCGCGCTAGTGACAGCCAACACGGTACACCGCGCATATTATTGATTTCTGCTCCTAGTTCCACTTTAAGACACATTGTATCCATTACATATTGATAAACAGAAGAGGAAACGTGTTTTCATCCCGAAACATTGTATGTCTGTCTAGATCGACCAAGCAGCCCATCCTTCATCCTTCTCCTTGGCGAGCCATGGGATAAAAAAACACCAAACGCGGGTCACGTGACTCTTCCATCCATCCATCGCGTTCCTCCATTTGTAATGGAAGTCACGGTGTAAAGGTGAAGAAATGATTACATGATAATCCCCCTCTCCGTCCGGCGATACGGAATGTTTTCCCGGCTAATATTTACCATTTTGTTCCCTCTCCGGTGACCTTGGACTTCGACTTCCCTTCTGCCCCCCCCCCATCTGTCAGAGATTTCCACATTGCCGCGGTGCCCATTAATCATAGCTTGGCCTCCCTGCACCCTCCACTCATTGCTGGTTTCCTTTTTCTTTAACCCTTCCATTGGGGCAAGGGGTTAAAAAATCAGACCCCCCCCCGCCCCCCTGGACCCGCTAAGAAAGCCACATCCATCCAGGGAGCTAAGATGAGTTTTTCTCCGCTTGGAAAGATCTATTCATCAACGTTTCCCGAAAAATATGCGTTTTTCTAGCCGCGCGGTTCCTGCCCGATCAATCTCCTCCGACCGATCAATAAGACTCACTTTTCTAATCTTTTTTTTTTTTTGCTTTCCTCGGATATTGTTGGCTGTGATTTCTCGCCGTGTTGAGGAGCGCACAGCCAAGCTGTAGACACAACAACGCATTTTGGCTTTTAAAAAAATTAAAGAAAAAAAAAAGAAATCAGGGCTGGAGGAGATTTTTTTTTTTTCTGTAAAGCAAATTGTGTCAGATGTCCGCCGGTGAAATTATTATTTGGGTCTCGTGTTTATATCAGGAATATTCCGCCGCCGCCGCGCCGTGTGTTGTGGAAACAATAATAAACAGTAAAGACACCACCGACGGATGTGAGATACAGAGCAGACTCTCCTGTATGGTGAATGTCGATGTGGGAACAGATCTGGTGTCCTCAGATGATTTCTGGCCAGAAGATCCGGGATTACATTGGGCTCAATAGAAGATGAATATTAATATAGGAGTCCTGGAACATTCGCTTTTATTGTTACTTTGTATCTCTCCGTCTCCCATCTGATGGATGTTTATAAACAATGTTACTTTGTATCTCTATCTCCCGTCTGATCGATGTTTATAAACAATGTTACTTTGTATCTGTCTCCCATTGATCGATGTTTATAAACAATGTTACTTTGTATCTCTCCATCTCCCGTCTGATCGATGTTTATAAACAATGTTACTTTGTATCTCTCCATCTCCCGTCTGATCGATGTTTATAAACAATGTTACTTTGTATCTGTCTCCCATCTGATCGATGTTTATAAACAATGTTACTTTGTATCTCTCCATCTCCCGTCTGATCGATGTTTATAAACAATGTTACTTTGTATCTCTCCATCTCCCGTCTGATCGATGTTTATAAACAATGTTACTTTGTATCTGTCTCCCATCTGATCGATGTTTATAAACAATGTTACTTTGTATCTCTCTATCTTCCGTCTAATCAATGTTTATAAACAATGTTACTTTTGTATCTCTCCATCTCCCGTCTGATCGATGTTTATAAACAATGTTACTTTGTATCTGTCTCCCGTATGATCGATGTTTATAAACAATGTTACTTTGTATCTCTCTGTCTCCCTTCTGATCAATGTTTATAAACAATGTTACTTTGTATCTCTCTATCTCCTGTCTGATCAATGTTTATAAAGAATGTTACTTTGTATCTCTCTATCTCCCATCTGATCAATGTTTATAAACAATGTTACTTTGCATCTCTCCATTTCCCATCTGATCGATGTTTTTAAACAATGTTACTTTGTATCTCTCTCTATACCCATCTGATCGATGTTTATAAACAATGTTACTTTGTATCTCTCTCTGTCTCCCGTCTGATGTTTATAAACAATGTTACTTTGTATCTCTTTCTCCCATCTGATCAATGTTTATAAACAATGTTACTTTGTATCTCTTCTCCCATCTGATCAATGTTTATAAACAATGTTACTTTGTATCTCTCCATCTCCCGTCTGATCGATGTTTATAATATTATTATACAGGATTTATTATATTATTATTTATACAGGATTTATGGCGCCAACAGTTTGCTCAGCGCTGTACAATATAACGGGAGACAATACAGCAACAATACAGTTCAATACAAGAGGGATAGGAGGGCCCTGATCCTGGGAGCTTACAATCTAAGAGGGAGGGATTTTAAACAATGTTACTTTGTATTTCTCTATCTCCTGTCTGATCAGTGTTTATAAACAATGTTACTTTGTATTTCTCTATCTCCTGTCTGATCAGTGTTTATAAACAATGTTACTTTGTATTTCTCTATCTCCTGTCTGATCAGTGTTTATAAACAATGTTACTTTGTGTCTCTATTTCTTGTCTGAACAATGTTCAGTAACAAAAATCACTTTTTTTCTCTAGGTGTTTGAGAAATGTCAGAAAACAAAGGTCATTATCAATAACATGAAATGATTAGATTGCTGGTGTAGCAATTGTATGTGACATATTCATTGTATTTGCTATATTTGTTCCCCACATAAGTGGAGTTACCCTTTAAGCACAAGAAGATTTCCCTTCAGACCGGTGCCATGAGATGACATCACAGAGACATTTTAAAGTGACTACCTCACTCTGTTTTCCCCTTTTCACCATTTAGCGATGAATTCAGGTAAACAGATCCATTTGGAAAAACATGTGCACCGGGCTCGCTCCATCCGAGAACAGCTCCGAGCGGCCAGCAGACAGCCGGAGACAAGTCAATAGCAGCGCGGAAATATATTTTCTAACGGAACCTTTCATCAGCGCGGCCATAAAAGGTCAGCGTCAGCCCAGCTCCGATAGATCCTCTCTTTCTGCTGTCCTAATGTTATTAGCAATGACTGTTTCCTGCTCAATCACACTCCCAAAGGATTTCCAATAAAGTTTTTATGTGCCATAACTGTTACATTAAATAAAGCTGAAAAGTATTGAGCCGAACTCGGAGTAAATCACTTCCCAAGCCGGGCAATTGAGTTAGAAGTGAGAATTGTGGATTCGGGGTGGATTTTTTTTTTTTTTTAGCCAATCTGTTTAATGCCGAAGAAAATTGTGTGATGAATTTTAATGATCTCCACGATGTCTACATGAAATACGAAAGTCCACTCAGCTGGGTGGACTTTTTTCTGCACTGTTGGTGTTTCTCGACAACTGTGATGGGCTCCCTGACGTCATTGTGGGAAGGTGTCAGAATATAAATTTGATTTATCAATGATTCCGACAGAGTGGTGGAAATTTGAGATCAGACTATCATTACATTGTCCATACTTACAATACTTTCGAAGTGTCTGGAATGAACTCGTTAACCATTGTACTATTGGCTAAAATATTTTTTTTTATAATGTAGCACTACCTCTTTAGGAGTCACTGAAGTTTTGGGACCCCCCTATAGGGGTAAGGGGTGTATGGGAAGCCCAATGGAATGGTAAACAGAGGACAACATCCTGGCAACTATGTACAAGTCTCCCCTCATGCCAGGGTACTAGGTGTAATCCTAGACTCCCATCTGTCCTTTCACCCCCAAATCCAATCACTGTCCAAATCTTGTAGTAGACTTCACCTCCGCAACATCTCCAACCTCCGCAACATCTCCAACCTCCGCAACATCTCCAACCTCCGCAACATCTCCAGCCTCTGCAACATCTCCAACCTCCGCAACATCTCCAACCTCCGCAACATCTCCAAGATACGACCGTTCCTAACCTCGGAAACCACTAAGCAACTTATT